GTCAACAAGGGCATGCTCCCTGGAAGGGGGGGGGGTCATCATCATGGCGGCCTGGTGGCATGTCATGCCGCTACTTTCAGGAGTAAAGCCCACCCACCATTGCATAAGGAGGAGAAAGGACCCAGCATGTCATGGGTTAGAGAACTGCAGCATTTAAGATAAATGTATGCATGATATTTTTCATGATCTCATTCATTTACATCCATGTCCGTTCAGGTCTGTTTTTTTTAAAAATGGAACAAGGCTCTGTCCAAGTCTGTTGAACTGTAAAAACAGATAATAGTCCATTTTTTTTGTCTGTTTTTGCATTAGTTGTTATAAGCTGGTATCCGCTGGTGTTCTACCAACTAGTGACTCATCCCTGCTATCAGCAGCCCTCTCCAATCCGATCAGATCAGAGGTCCCCCCCCCAATCCATAGCAGACCCTTGTCCAAGGCCAGGAAAGGAGGGGTGGGGAAGTGTGCACCCCCTTTTCTGAACCATACCAGGTCACATGTGCTCAACATGAGGGGGGTGTACTTTGCCAGAAGGGGACAAGGCAAAGCACTTTGTCCCCCATGTTAATGAGGACAAGGGCCTCTTCCCCACAACCCTGGCCCTATGGTTGTGGGAGTGTGGAGGGTGACTTACCAGAATCCTGGAAAGCCTCCTTTAACCACTTGCCAACTGCGCTATACCCGAATAACGGCTACAGCGCAGTTGCCCAGTCCTGGGAGGGCATCATATGATCTCCGCGATCGCTTTTACCATGTGATCAGCCGTGTCCAATGACACAGCAGATCACTGGTAAATGCAGTTGCCGGTTATCGGCTGCACTTTCCTCACGTTGTCACAGCATGAGGAAAGTACTGCCGATAACTGTCAATTGTCAGAGAACGGATTGTCACCGATCATCAGGGCACTGATGATCAGTGCCCTGATGATTGGTGCCCAGCAGTGCCGCCTACCAGTGCCCAGCAGTGCCACCCACCTGTGCCCAACAGTGCCACCCATCAGTGCTGCTCGTCAGTGCCACCCATCAGTGCCGCCAGTCAGTGCCCAGCAGTGCCACAAGTCAGTGCCATCCATCAGTGCCGCCTATCAATGCCCATGATTGTTGCATATCAGTGCAGCATCATCAGTGCCAGCTCATCAGTACCACCTATCAGTGCTGCCTATCAGTGTCCGCCAATGCTGCCTATCCGTGCCACCTCATCAGTGCAGCCTATCAGTGCCCATCAGTGCTGCCTATCAGCGCTGCCCATCAGAGCAGCCTCATGAACGCACATCAGTGAAGGAGAACAATTACCTGTTTGCAAAATGTTTTAATAGAAAGAAAAACCTTTTTTTTTTTTTTAATTTTGTGCTTTCTTTTTGTTTTATAGCGCAAAAAATAAAACACACAGCAGTGAGTAAATACCATCAAAAGAAAGCCCTATTTGTGTGAAAAAAAATTATAAACATTTCATATGGGTACGATGTTGCATGACCACGCAATTGTCATTCAAAGTGCGACAGCACTGAAAGCTGAAAATTGGCGTTACTGGTGATTGCGTGGTCATGCAACACTGTACCCAAACAAAATTTATGGCAAATAGAGCATTATTTTTGGTGGTATTTGATCAATGCTGGGCTTTTTATTTTTTGTGCTATAAATGAAAAAAGACCAAATATTTTGAAAAAAAAAATCCCAATATTTTTTACTTTCTGCTATAAAACATATCCAATAAAAAAAAAATCTAATTTCTTCATAAATGTTGGCCAAAATGTATTCTGCTACATGTTTTTGATAAGAAAAATTCCCAATAAGTGTATATTGATTGGTTTGCGTAAACATTATAGCACCTACAATCTATGGTATATATACTGGAATTTTTGTTTCTTAATTTCTTTATACTACTAATGGCGGAGATCAGCAATCTCACAATAACTGACGCTGGCATAGGAAACTGACAGGTCACTTCCTTGGTTCAGAGCTCTGTGTTGTTTGCCAAATCTAGAGCTCCAGCCTGTGATTGCACAAAACTGATCAGCAGGTCCCTGCTGTGAATCATTGGTGACTTGCTGACAGGCTCCCGCTGTGTGCACCCTACACCCAAAAGTAGGCGGCGATGTATCAGTACGTCGCTTTGCTTACAGCCACCGCACGCCTGCAGTACAGTGCGGGCGGATGACTGGCAAGTGGTTCAAATAAATAAATAAAATGTCCCTGATGTATACCCCTTGTCAATCACATCATCCAGCGATGTAGGTCCATGTCGTTCATGATGAAAGACAACAACCAACCAGCACAAAAAAAATGCTGCCTGCCAAACCCAACTGCTCCAGTCTCTTGCCAAAGGACAAAAACTGTGTGGTATTTTTATTTACAATTGACATTTTTTTGGTGAATGAGTACTGATTCTATGTACCTCATACTCATTCACATGGGGGGGCCAGGATATGGGGCTTCCAGATTCCGATATGTCACCCCTGCACAACCACAATCAGTAGCCAGGGTTGTGGGTAAGAGACCGTTGTCCTTGTCCCCAAAAGTTGAGGGCATGAGGCCTGGTATAGTTCAGGAATGGGAGACTAAATGCTTATCCCCCCTTTCCTTGCCTGATAGGCTGCATGCTTGGATAACGGTCTGGTATGGAATGTAGGGGGAAGGGCTCATGCCACTTTTTTTTTTAGTTATTTTCCCTCCCCCCAACCTCACTTTATACAAATCCTGAAGGGTCTGGTATGGATTTTGGGGTGGGGATGGTACCTCACACCATTTAAAAAATAAATAAATAACCTTGGCTCTTTTGTTTTCATTCTGCTGTCATTGGGGAATCCCCTGCCGACAGCAAAGATGAGTCATGGTTGTTATGGACTTCGGCGGGCTAATGTAAAAACATATGTGAAGTGATGTAAACTGAACTGAAAACTGATGTAAAAACTGATGGAAACTAAATAATTAATTGATAACACGTGATTGAACTGATGGTGCCCGTGTGAAAGGGGCCTTAGGATTGATATTGAGAATTATTGGGCAATTAGTACACTGCTCAAAAAAATGAAAGGAACACTTTGAAAATACATCAGATCTCAATGGGGAAAAATATCATGCTAGATATCTATACTGAGATGGACTGGGTAATGTATTAGGAACGTAAGGATGCCCCATCATTGGATGAAAATGAAAATTATCAACCTACAGAGGACTGAATTCAAAGACACCCCAACAATTAAAGTGAAACAATGATGCAGCAGGCTAGTCCATTTTGCTGAAATGTCATTGCAGCAACTCAAAATGGTACTCAGTAGTTTGTATGGCCCTCAGGTGCTTGTATGCATGCCTGACAACGTCGGGGCATGCTCCTAATGGGACAGTGGATGGTGTCCTGGGGTATTTCCTCCCAGATCTGGAGCAGGGCATCACTGAGCTCCTGGACAGTCTGAGGTGCAACTGGCAGCGTTGAATGGACTGAAACATGATATCCCAGAGGTGTTCTATCGGATTTAGGTTAGGCAAGCGTGGGGGCCATTCAATGGTATCAATAACGTCATCCTCCCAGAACTGCCTGCATACTCTTGCCACATGAGGCCGGGCATTGGCGTGCACCAGAAGGAACCCAGGACCCACTGCGCCAGCGTAGTGTCTGACAATGGGTCCAAAGATTTCTTCCCGATACCTAATGGCAGTCAGGGTGCCATTGTCTAGCCTGTAGAGGTCTGTGCGTCCCTCCATGGATATGCCTCCCCAGACCATCAGTGACCCACACACCAAAACAGTCATGCTGAATAATGTTACATGAAGCGCAATGTTCTCCATGGCTTCTCCAGACCCTTTCACATCTGTCACATGTGCTCAGGGTAAACATGCTCTCATTTGTGAAAAGCACAGGGCACCAGTGGCAGACCTGCCAATTCTGGTGTTCAATGGAAAATGCCAGTCAAGCTCTATGGTGCCGGACAATGAAGACAGGGCCCACTAGAGGATGTCAGGCCCTCATGAAGTCTGTTTCTGATTGCTTGGTCAGAGACATTCACACCAGTGGCCTGTTGAAGGTCATTTTGTAGCACTCTGGCAGTGCTCATCCTGTTCCTCATTGCACAAAGAAGCAGATACCAGTCCTGCTGAAGGGTTAAGGACCTTCTATGGCCCTGTCCAGCTCTCCTAGAGTAACTGGAATCTCCTCCATGCTCTTCAGACTGTGCTGGGAGACACAGAAAACCTTCTGGCCATGGCAAGTATTGATGTGCCATCCTGGAGGAGTTGGACTGCCTGTGCAACCTCTGTAAGGTCCAGGTATCAGCTCATGCTACCAGTAGTGACACTGACCCTAGCCAAATGCAAAACTAGTGAAAAAACAGCCAGAAAAGATGAATAGGGGAAAAACTAACCAACTAATGACTATACTCTGATTAAAAAGCGTTCCTTTAATTTTTTTGAGCAGTGTATTTCTTTTAATAATATTAATCACCTAACAAAGGTTCTAACCAATCCACACCACATATAAAAATAAAATACATTTTGGCTACAAGTATAATCATGTTTGTTTAGTAATAAAACTCATAAAAGGCTGTAACCCCTTCCTGATAAATCCAAAACAGAATAAAATGGTTGGCTGGAGCTTCATTTTACAGCAAGGGAAGGTGTTATTTGTCAGTTTGAATTTTTTTGATGTTATTCCACCATCTATATCAGTGGAAACATATTAGGAATAGTCTGGAAAAGTGGAAATGTTCTTTAACACACTCCTTTTACTAATAACAAAAGCTTTCCTAGGTAATCTGTAAAACTGGCGTCTAAGTACAGAATAAAACTGAAACTCTGCTGACATCTACTGGATACTGTCTTTCGGCTAACTAGAAAAATGTCCTTTAATGGCAGCATGCTCATTTGAAGGATATATATAGTAATAAAACACACACTTTTACCCAACGTATATACTGTAACACATTTATTAGTGTTATAATTCTTGCAGTACTACCACTACAGCTCAATCATAACAAACAGTAGCCACAAACAGGAAATTGACACTTGGACTTATTTTCTTCCCAGTATGGCATCATAAGTCTTTCCAGTTGTTCGGAATTGAATATCCCTGAAGCCAGAGTCTGTAAGGAGCTTGCTATACTCAGATGGCGTCCTCTCTTTGCCTTCTGTCTGTAACAGCATGTTCAATGAGAGCAGCTGGGAAATCGAAGGGCCACTTCTGTCTTCATTTAAGAGGACTTCAATTAGCAGAACTGCACCTCCTTTATAAAACAGATGAACAATTTTTATGACTAAAATGACATGTAAAATTATTTTGAATATTTTATTAGTACAAATAAAAGCATAGGAAGTATGTTGCAAGTAGCAAGAGAAGTAATTCTTTCTGTTGTGGGGCAAATAAGAAAATAAACAAACATTTCACTAAGTTAATAATACAGACATTTCCCTTCCTTTCCATTCCCTTGACCAAATCTTTGGGGGACCTTCATACCTTGGAGTGCATTAATGTGAACATGTTAAAATTTATCTAAAGCTGAATCCTTTTTTAGCTTTGGATAGAGTAGGAAATGCTGTTTGTGTTCCATCGGGAAGCTGTCCACAAATGTCCTGCTTTGCAACAATAAAAAGTGTTGGCTTACAACACAAGGCATATGGTTTTGCACATTGCTCAGACAGCCCATTCAGTGTGAATGGACCCATGCTCGCTACTGAGCCACCTCTGTGTGTCTATGAGACACACAGAGCTTGGCTCAGGCCTGCCCCATGCTCCCTCCTCACTTGCTGTGATTGACAGCAGTGGGAGCCAATGACTCCTGCTGCTGTGTCTCAGCCAATGAGACGAGAAAGACCTGGGAGAGCCTCTGCTCTCATGCCCATTGCTGGATGAAGATCGAGTTCAGGAAAGTATTGGAGGGGGCTGCACACTAAAGGTTTTTTATCATCATGCATAGAATGCATGATAGTAAAAAACCTTCAGCCTTTAGAACCACTTTAAATTTAACCCTTGTGAATAAGGTAATGTGAATAAACTTAATGTGCAATCAATGAGTTGCTGCAGACATCTATTCGTGTTCCTGCAAAAATTCAATAAATGGCTATAATGAAGGATGCATGCTACTTAATATCAACTGTGAGTGTAAAAAGTGCCTAAACCCCTTATACATGAATCTCTATGGCTTACTTCCAAATCACACTAAATTATCAAAAATTTTAAATAAACAGTGAAATCACAAAAAAAACTGTTGTTTCTCAACCAATTTGTAAACATATGCATCACCATTAAATATGCAATCCATAAAATTAAAATCCTAATCTCTGTGCAATCAAGTCCATTTGTTATATATACAGGGGTTAGACAAAAAATGGAAACAGCACGATTTGCAGGTGTAAAAGTGACAACATGTTTTGCGATGAAAGCGGAAGTGATGTAACATTCTTTTGTTTCCACTGTGTGATGAGACACCTAGCTAACTGGTGGGAAGCCTTACTTTCATCATTCACTGTGTGCACTGCTAGTAATACAGAGTCATGTCAGAGCTTACTGAGCTTCAAACAGTTTTTGACAAGTTCTTTATTAACCACCTTTCGCCTGCCATATAGTAATCTGACGGACTCAAGGAGGTTCTCTCGTTCGGGGAGGACGTCATATGACGTCATCCCATTCTAACCGCGCATGAGCGGCTCCCAGAGCGCACAGCGCCGCGATCGGCGGTGCGTTGTGTCCCTCGGACACAACGGATCACCAATCCACAGAAAGAGCCGAAGATGTCGGCTTGGTCATGTGATCAGCTGTGTCCAATCACAGCTGATCACATGTAAACAGGGAATTGCCGGTTATCGGCATTTCTCTCCTCTCGAGCTGTCACGCTGAAAGCTCGAGAGGAGAGCCGGTAATCGGCATTCCATGGAGGGGACAAGTACACTGATCATCAGAGCACAGATGATCAGTGTGTCCTGATGATCAGTGTAGCCCCAGCAGTGCCACCTGTCAGTGTCCATCAGTGCCAGCTGTCAGTGCTCATCCATGCCACCTGCCAGTGCCCATCAGTGCCACATCAATGCCACATATCAGTGCCTACCAGTGTACATCAATGTCACATATCAGTGCCCATCTGAGCTGCCTTTCAATGTCACCCATCAGTGCCAGTCAGTGCCACCTATCAATGCCAATCAGTGCCACCTATCAGTGCTGCCAATCAGTGCCACCTATCAGTGCCAGTCAGTGCCGCCTATCAGTGCACATCAGTGCCGCCTATCAGTGCCAGTCAGTGCTGCCTGACAGTGCCAGTCAGTGCCACCTAACAGTGTCATATATCAGTGCTGCCTTTCAGTGCCCATCAGTGATGCCTGCCAATGTCCATCAGTGCCACCTACCAGTGCCTCCTCATCTGCCCATCAGTGCCACTTATCAGTGTCCATCAGTGCAGCCTCATTAGCGCACATCAATGAAGGAAAAAAATCACTAATTTACAACATTTTATAACAAAAACTAAAAAAAAGTTTTTTTTTTTTATGTTCAGTGGTTTTTGGTTTAAGAAAAAATAAAAAAACCCAGGGTTGATTAAATACCACCAAAATAAAGCTTTATCTGTCACAAAAAAAGATAAACATTTCATATGGGTACAGTGTTGCATGACCACGCAATTGTCATTCAAAGTGTAACAGCGCTGAAAGCTGGAAATTGGCCTGGACAGGAAGGGGGTATAAGTGTCCTGTAGGCCAGTGGTTAAAAAAACCCTCTAAAAATAAATGTCCCCTGAAGTAGATCCAGCGCCAATCACGTAATCTACCCACTAAACACAACGTGTCCCATCCAGGGACACATGATATATGACAGGTAAACATGAGGGTCTTCTTCCGAGGACATTTAGTTTTTTTGTTTTATTTTCTTTTATTAAAATATCTGTTTTTTTTTTTTAAACGTTTGACACTTTTTTTTATGGGGTTACCATGTACCCCATACTCATTCACATGGGTGTGGGGGGGGCAGGGATCTGGGGGCCCCTTTGTTCCAGAATTCAATAACCCCCCCCCTCCCCACAGACCCCACACAACCACTGCCCTTTGTTGTGGGGAAGAGGCCCTTGTCCCCATCAACATGGGGCCAAAGTGCTTTGGGAAGGAAGCCTCCCTCCCTCAAAGCCCCCTCCCCATGTTAAGGGCATGTGACCTGGTATGGTTCAGGAGGGGGCATGGGGTTCCCCTCGAAATCCATACTAGACCCAAAGGGTCTGGTATGGATGGGGGGACCGCCACGCTGATTTTTTTTTTTTTTAATTAACATGCACTTATTTTATTTTCATTCTACTGACAGCAGGGAATCCCGCTGACAGCAGATGAGTCATGTTTGTTAAGGACGTGGCAGCTGCTCACTCCTTAACAACCAGCGCTATTTCGAAAAAACGAATGCTAAATATACAAAACAAATTCAGAAAACAAATAGGTCCATTAACGAATGCATCCAAAAATGAATTCTTCAATGAACTAATGAATCCAAAAATGTATTTTTATTTATTTCAGGTACTTATATAGCACCACCAATTTATGCAGTACTTTACATACTGTATATATTCTACATTCACATCGGTCCCAAACCCTCAAGGGGAAGTACATGCTAAGGTCCCTAACTTACATTCATACATACACATACTAGGGTCAGTTTAGATAGAATCCAATTACCCATCAGCATGTCTTTGGAGTGTGGGAGGAAGCTGGAGTACCTGGAGGGAACCCACGCAGGCACAGAGAGAACATGCAAACTCCTGGCAGGTGGTGCCGTGGCTGGGATTTGAACCAACGACCCTAGTGCTGCCAGGTGGAAGTGCTAACCATTTAGCCACTGTACTGCTCAAACATAAAATAGAAAATGAAACTTAAAGTACAACTATAGGCAAAACTTTTTCTTCATTTTGGATAGAGCAAGGGAGGGTTATAATGCCTGTCAGACTTTTTTTTCGCCATCTGTATCCCAGAGCCAAACAAGAAGTGAGAAGAAATCCCTGCAAATTAAAGGAATTCTTTGGGGACCCCCAGGCCACCAGAACTACAGTAGTTTTCCCATTAGAAGATTTCTCCTCTATTACTTTTCTGGGGACAACCCAAAATTTGGGATTTTCTTTTACTTTATCTTTCAATGACAATAGTAAACAAGACAAATAAAGAAGGCGAATCTCCTTAGTGGGAGCACAGACAGCAATAAAAACTGACAGGTGTTCTGATCACTTTCCACTCTATCCAAAACTTTAAAAAAATAGTTTTGCCTTTAGTTATGCTTTTATGACATTTTCTGTCGTGCACCTGTGTAGTTGCAAAGCTTCATGAACTCAATGCATTAACAAGTAAAATTAAGGCCAGAAAAGTAGAGAGCAGCAGCTTCATTGAATTGCCATCAATATGTTTGATTCTATCCCAAGTGCACACCAGCAGTGAATCTTCAAACATTGTGCATAAAGATCCTTATACACCTCTTCAGTGCTCTCCACTACCATACAAATACTGCCCTCACTGCCGGTTGTAGACCTAATTAGTTCATTAGGCTGACTCAAAAGAAGAAAGGTTACCTTGTCGCTTTTTTATATTAAAGACAATTTATTAAAAGCAAGGAAAATGATTCACATTGTACTGTGCATTGTCCTGGTGCAATACATTAAAGCCGCTATTCACAAGCACAGCTCAGACGGTTTGTAGTTCTCAATGAACTGCAAGGGCGTTGGTGAGCATCCTCATAGTTCTATGATTCTTCCTGCAGTTCAGTAACTTTCTGCTAGTACAGGAGGTATGGGCTGACAGCAGACATGGTCTGCAGGATCCTGGCATTGCACCTCCGATCTGCTGATTGCGGGTGCAATGCTTTAAATGTGCATTTATTTATTTTAAAGGTGAACTTATCCTTTTAAACTTTTCCTGAAGAATTCAAAATTATATGATGAAATGTAACTTATCAGCTGGAATTGTGTTTATTTAGAAACTGTGGACTGCAGAAGAGTGAGAGGGCTGAATGTGGCTCATAAAACACAGTTTGGCATGCTTGATCTACCTGAAATTGATATATCCATTATAGCTACAATCTGGTAGACTGAGTCACCTGCTAATTTATTACATTTCTGGGGAATCCAATGATGATACCTCCCTGCTATAGTTCTTGGCTCTGTTCTTACCCAACCTGGAGTGGAAACTGGTCAAAGTGGTTTGCAAATAAAGTAATCTTCTAAAGTTAAACCGAACAATTGAAATAAGTCACTGCATTTATGCGATTGGGAATCAGTGCATTCCTTGGTTGCACCTGCTCCCGTCATTGACAGCTATAACACACTGAGGAAGGAAGGAAGGAAGGAAGGAAGGAAGGAAGGAAGGAAGGCTCCTATTTTGAAAAATGTTTTTTTCAGTTGGGTATATCTGTTAAAATCATGGAGATATCATGAATAATATTTTTTTTACAGAAAGAGCTATTGCTTCTATTGTAATAGTTCTGATAAGAAATATTATATGTAATCAGTTTATATGCCAGTAGCTTTGACAGAAATATTCTTAACATAAAATATAAAACAGTATTTACTTTAGTTTTGCAATAAAAGTACATTTTGTTCTATCTATTATGGTTCATGAAACAATTACAAAATACTTCATGAATTGTCATCTTTCTACAGACTATGAACTCACCAGGTCTGCAGGACAGGTAAATCTTTTTCAGTAGCTGCAGGCATTTCTCTTCTGCCCAGTCATGGATAATCTTGGCCAAGATAAATAAGTCTGCCTCCGGTATGGGATCGTTAAAGAAATCCCCTTTGGTAAAAAAAATGAAAGAAATACATTGTCAAAAAATAAAGTTGAAAATGGACCATATTTAACAATGAATGTCAAAGCCAAACAATGACTGGAATAAACTAATTAATTACAACTGGTCTTGAATAATTTATTTATTACCCACTTGCTGTCAAGGCTAATTCTCAGATAGATGTTAAAATCTGCATTTTTTTGCCAGTAAATTACTTAGAACCCCCAAACATTATATTTGTCTTAAGCAGAGGCTACAAAGAAAAAAAATGGTGGCAGCAAATTTGGCAGCAATTTTTAAAATGCAAATTTTTGGGAAAAAAATACACTTGAATGAATTTTAGAGGACACATAGTGTACATTATTTAATACTTAATATTTTGATAAATGATAAAAGATGATTTTGCAGGTAAATATATATCCAGCGTGTCACACTTTAAAATTGGGCATGCCTGTGGAATAGAGACCAATTAAGGTACATTAACACTGCTTTCACACTTCTCTGTTGAAAAAAGTGTCAAGAAATGTATATGCATTTTTGCTGTGGTGTATTAAATTTAGCGCAATGCATAATGCGTTTTTGATGCATTTTTGCCACGTTTGCATTGCATTTTTCCCACATATTCTGTGATTTGTACTGGTTGTTAGCAGCTGGCACCCACCAGTGTTCTAACAACCAGTAACTCATTCTGCTGTCAGCCAGAATCAATATAATATCAAAAGGCAGTTATAGCTGTTCTCCTACAACCTACCGTGGGGTGCAGGGTGAAGTCCTCTATTAGTTAAGATATCCTGCCTTTAGGAGGAATGGTCCCATTAAAAAAATGTTATTTTAACCAACACCATATGTTATAAGGGAGGGACTTCTATGAAGGGTTAGAATGAGAGGAGGGTTAGAGTGAGAGGAGAAGGATGTAGGACACAAAATGTGCATGTGCTCTTTTCCCCTTTGGAGCCCATTTGAACAAAGGTTCAAGGAGGAAACTGGAAATTAGGGCAGGATTGCAGCACCCTCCTGTTATACACCCAGTCAAGTTAAGTTTGGTGAGAATGTACATGCAGCTGCAATCTAGTAGTTTATGCTGCTGCTGCTATAAGTGTTGGAGTGACCATATTCTCTTTCTAAATGGTATCAGTAGAGATAATACCTGGGGAGTGGGGATATTACAACCAGTTCTGGTTGGGTATGAGTGGAGACCTAGTTGAGGTAGGTCCGCCCACTTGACAGTGGTAAAAAACAATCCTCTGGGTGCACACACCTGGTGACCTCATCACATGGGACTCTGATGTTCAGGGAGAACAATCTGTGAACTAGTAAATCAAAAAGCTGTGTTGCGCCACTCACAAATATAAAGTGTATATACAAAAAATAAATAACTAAAATAAATATGAAAGTTCATAAATAAGCTCATAAAGTGCTGAATTCACAGTCCATAACCAAATGGAAATTCCAGTGCAGCAACACACATTTTTTACCAGATCCTCAGACCTCAAAGAGAAGGAGGTCTAACTACACATTAAGGGACAAGACTCGAATGGATGGATGAATAGATGAGAACCTCATGGTGTATCAAACAACACTTTTCAGGCTGACATCAACAATCAACAGTAAAATAAACCAACTCTGGATAATATTAATAGTAAGCAAGAGGGAGAAGGTCTTTCATAGTGTAGTATTTAAAATCACCATTTTTATTAAGACACAAATATAAAGTAAACCGGCAGAACAATCTCAGTTTGTCCTGATCAACACGTGGGGCGTGATAATCACTGCTGTAGCTCAGCAGTGATGCATTTTGTCCAATAGGATGCTGTCATTGGGGCAATGGAGTATAGTGGTGGTAGTACATGTATAGTATATATAAGCACAGCCTAAAAGGGTTACTAGAGGGTGCTTTCTCTTACCAGCATCAGGATCGAGAGCAAAGTCTTGTGACCAAGTTATTGACGCTTGGAAATTATAAGGGCTCATAAATAAAATACGGGCAGCCATATTAATGTAGACCAGAGATCATAAGGGTTCGCAGAAGGCATTCAAATTAGATAAAAAAATTAATTAATGTAAAAATGGACCTAATTAATCTTATTTAATAAGAAACGAATGAATGTGTTCCTAATGGCAGAAGGATAGTAGCACCACCTATAGGTTCATGCAAAATACCACCAAAAAATTATATTCAATACCAATGGCAGAATGAGAATAGTGACCCCTAGAGATAATAATAAATATTATATAGAATCTAATTACAATTAATACCAAAAAATGTATATATTAATACAATTAATAAATTACTAATAAATAAAGTTCAGATAACTAAAATAGTATACTACATAACAAATAAAATCTAATTGCAACTAATACATGGCAAAAATACCAAAACTTAAAAACACAAAAATTTAAATAACTAAAATAATAAGACTGCCTAGGTTCTATCTATTATTATTATTAAAAGAGTGGATGTCCCACTCTACATTAAGCCCCAAGGCTATATAGCCTTAAATTTGTAAATCCAGCGAGTTTCTTGCCTATAGATCTTGCAGACATTATTCCTACCCCTCCAATGTGGTATGAAACTCTCTATACCTATCAATTTTAAATCAATAGGATCCCTACGATGTTTAATAGCAAAATGTTTAGACAAACTATGGTTACGAAAACCTTTTTGGATGTTGGTAAGATGTTCACCTATTCTGAACTATAAGGTTCTTTTAGGCCTCTCTACATAAAATACAAATTACAAGAACATTGTAAAAGGTAAATTACGGTCTTAGTGGAACAAGTAATAAAACTTTTGATGTCATAACTAAAGTTAGTAACAATGGATTGGAAAGTTTGAATCCTCACTGTGTTAGTTCTGCAGGTCTTTCTGTACATAGAGAACACCTACAACATGGATAGAAACCCCACATCACCAAAAAAGGAAGGACGTAATGGTTTTTCAATAATGTTGGGAGCTACTAAATGTCTGAGAGTCGGTGTTTGTAAAAAATAACTTTAGGATTAGGTAATACAGGACCAAGTACTGCATCACTATTTAGAATTGCCCAATGTGTTTTCAAGAGTCTACTAACAACATGGTGTTGGCTGGAATAGGTCAAACAAAAGACCAATCAAAAGCAGAAGTGTTTTCTTCCTTAATTTTAGGTATCAGCAAATCTTTCCTGTCAAGAGAGACTACCTGCTGTATGGTGTAATCCATGTTTTGAGCAGAGTAATCCATAATCAATAAACCCTTGTCTAATCACCCCAGCTTGTGTCATAAATTCTTGCAAATAAGAGCAATTCCATCGAAGTCTGAGGAACTGCCCTTTTGGGACACCTCTTAACCATAAAGGTTGGTAGCAGCTTTACTACGAAATATAACCATTTCTATCAGTCTTTTTGAAAAAGTTTTTTTGTAACAAAACCATTCCCTTCACTTCAAATGGTTAAAACTAAAAAAATTATCTCAATGGAACTGAATTCATAATTCTACTTAATACCCATTCATTCAGATTATGATCAGCCATAAATTGATGAAATTCAGATTCAGTGCTTCCCCCCCCCCCCCTCCCCAAGTTATCAAGGCATCATCTATATAGAGACGCCAAAAAACAACCTCCTGGTGGGGGATACCATAAATTAAATTGTCCTCCCAGTGGCCCATAAATAAATTTGCCACAATGGGAGCAACCCTCATTTTCTGCAAATAAAAATTGTCCTCCGTACCAAAAGTAATTATGGTGCATACAAAAAGCAGCATCTCTAAAACAAACCCTTTTTGCAAATCTGAAAGTGTATCAGCGTTATCTAAGGAGTGTTTTACCAAATATAAAGCCCTTCATGGGGTACAATAGTATAGAGGGAGGACACATCTGCGGTTTGCAGCAGACAGCTGGTTTTGATTCCTAAACTGCATAGCTCATTAACTGTATCTCGAGTGTCCTTCAGATAAGTTGGAGTGTCAGCCACTAAAGGTAGAAGGAAGATGTATTTATGGACCTTCAGTAGGTAATAGATGACTGGGACCCCCAAGAGTAACAGGTACCAAAAACGATTTCTCCTTCTGATTTAAAACACCATCCCTAAATCCTTTTTTAACCAGAGACTCAAGACCTCTCTTAAAAAGAGCTGTGGGATCACTATTCAGAATTTGGTAGGTAGGCTCATCAGACAAGAGATTAGTCATCTCCTGTTGATAGTCAGACTTGTCCAATAATACAATTCCACCCCCCTTATCAGCGGGGCAGATGACAAGCTTATTCCTTTCACACAAGGATTGCACACTTTGTCCTTGGAGAGATCACACCAGAAGGGTTAAATAAAGAATCATTTTGACAAACGAGTGTGTTTAATTCCACATGGGTTTGTAACCATCTCCCTGGTAGTCAGATTCCCCAAGAAATATCTTTTTACATTCAATTTCCGAAAAAAAATGTATGGTTGTCAACAAACGTTTCCAATTTGTTAAACTTCCTAGGAGGAGCGAATTTCAAACTTTTATTCAGTAATCTTAATTCTGGCTTAGATAAAACAACACAACGTAAATAAAAAATTTCACCGTTATCTAGTATTTCCTTCTTTTTGCTTCTACTTCTCCTTCTACCCCTTTACCCTCTACTCTTGTTAACTTTCTGTTTGGACGTGGGCCCCCTTCTAAAAAAGAGGAAGAAGGGGATTGTGGATTATTGTGTTTGGAGTTGTATGTGTAACCTCTGGGGCACAAAACAAAGGTCCCTAGAATGGCCCTCAGCTCCCCTCCTCCATTCATGAGGGGGTGGGGATGCCCGAGATCTATAATCAGGACTGTACATTTCAGGAGTGACAGGTGGAAAACGATTATAAAGAGGAAGGGGCCTCTCATACAAAGGTGACCTACAGGTGAAACTTGAAAAATTAGAATATCATGCAAAAGTTAATTTATATCAGTAATGCAACTTAAAAGGTGAAACTAATATATGAGATAGACTCATTACATGCAAAGCAAGATAGTTCAAGCCGTGATTTGTCATAATTGTGATGATTATGG